CGTGCTTAAATAATAGGAAATGCATTTCCTGACCCGGTTTTCGATTCCATTTTTTAAATAATTGATATATATTTTATTTACATATTTACTAAATTGTGATAGAATATTAAATAGTTTCTAGTAAATAATAATTCTAAAAATAATTAATATATATTTATTACACTTTTTATTTTTTAAATTCTAAAAATAATTAAAATTAATTATAAAATTGGTAATTTTTTTTAATCGGGATCTCGATTCTCGGATCGAAGAACAAGGTGGAGACGGGGACTAAAATTTTTCAGAAGCACGAGAATGGGAGAGAACATCCTCATTCGCGCCCCACACTATTGTCTTCCTTGCTTTACGTAGAATTTTATCTCTCTTATTTTCAATTTTCTAATTTGTTGAAAATAGAAAACTAAAATTGATTAACAAACATGTTTGGTTTTCAGTTTTTTAAAAATAAAAAACAGTTATCAAACATAAATGGTTTTTTTTTAGAGAAAACAAAAAATCAAAAACAAAAACAAAAAACTGAAAACCAAAAAGTTATCAAATGGTTCCTTAATAAACACAAATTTGAAAGTTGAGGGTCCATTTGATAACATTCTGGTTTATCACTCATAATTTTATTAATAAACCTAAGCATCTTACAACTATTTATATTTCTTATTTCTCATTATTTAGAAACATTATCAAAATTGTATAGAAATTTTAGGAACAAAAAAGCAACTTTATTGTTTCTTATTCTAATTTCCAATTTATTTCAAAACATAAATAAAAATATTGTTGTATTAAAATCCATGGATGTGGGAGCCATGCACTTTTATTTTTCTTCATTAAAAATGAGTAAACGGAAACAAGGAACGAGAACGTTACCAAACAAGCTCTAAAAGACCTGTAAAACACTTTATAAAGTTCATAACTTATTAAACACAAAGTTTAAACTTATAACCTACGTTTTTAATGTTTAAAAATTTATTAAATATGCCAACATAAACTAAGTTAAGCGATAATTGACACATCATTTTAATTAAGAGGTCATGAGTTCGGATCTCTTACCCCACTTACTTTTTCAAAAAAAAGAAAAAAAGAAAAAAAATTAAATACAACCTGAAAAGGTGGGGCTAAACTTGTTGATTATTATTATTAAATATGCTAATTAATAAGGGAAATGGCTTGCCTTGTGGGGTCGACACACAGCAACTTTTTTTTTTTTAATTCATAATTTTTTTTTCTTTTTGTTTTTTTCTATTAAAAAAGCAAACATTTTTAATCATATGTGAAACGAACGGCAATGAGGAGTTGCGAGACTATTTTACTTTTAGAAATGTGTAGCACATGTCGTTTATTTCAGCTTTTATTTAATTGCAATGGGACCCACTTTTTGTATTTTCCTTTTTTAGAAAATTAAAAACAAATACCATTGCAGAAAAAAAATTAAAAATTAAAAATTAAAAAAATAAAAAGAAATATGATTCTTAACTTCATTCCGTACATGTAGAAGGAATGATTTTAGAGAAAATTAATTGAAATATTATCACGTGGGAACCAACATTAAACATAGTTTATGTGAATTAAAGCTATGAATAATGAGCGGTTAAATTACCAATTTCGTTATTCTATCATCTAATATTTACTAATTCAATACTTGCTTTAAACAATTCCTACGTTTCCAATACATGCATCAAATTGTTAGTTTACATATTCGTATTAGAATTGGTATACCAGGTTTAAAGTATTTTAATTGGGATGATTAAAACTCAAGCTCATGAGCTCCTTTTATAGTAGTTGGAACACATCTTCTCCTTATACTTTTCCGATGTGGGACAACTTCTAGCACATGAGACCATCCTTGTATTCTTGTTATTTGCTCGGATAAAATAAGATAAAGAATCAAAATCATTACTTTTTAAGTTTAAGAATCAAATAAATTTAAATTTAAAAAATTAATTATAATCATACATTAAAAATACTTACTTTTAGTTGACAAAATAATGGTGCGACATTTCATTAGAATAAATTTGGGTGAAATTAGTTGAATTGATTATCTTAACTCAATCACGTCTAATTTTATAGATCTCATCCAAAATCTTATTCAGCCTAATTATTTTCTCCTCTTAATCTTTGCCCAGTCTTCATCTTCTTTAGTGACCAAGTTGAAGCATTCCCGTCTACCACCTTTCTTTTTCCTGAGTTTCCTAAGTTCATTATAATTAGTATGAAGTCTATGTCATCAAATCAGATTGCCTCGTTCATGTCTTATCTAAAGAAACGTCATTTCAACATTCCACACATTGATATTAATAGTGAAAATTAAATATAATTAATAAGACTAAAATGAATTTGAAGCTTTTTCAAGTTTAAAATTAAGTAGAGACAATAAATAATATTTATTAAATATTATACTTATGGATGAAAGTGGTAATTTAACTAAATGAATTTGTTTGTTTATATATATATATATTAAAAAAACTGATTATTTGATGCAATAAAAATAGAAACAAAGTCAATTAGATTTTCTTGTTTGAACAATTATATTATGTGTTGTACACACCCTGTCATTAATCAATATTCATCCAATTCTTAATATATAAAACGGATTTAAAAATAATTAAAGTAAAAAAAAAATCTTAGTTATTCCGCTCTTATGTAGATCTCACAATAATCAGATAAATTAAAATAAGAAAAAATTAGACTTTTCTCTTAATTTTTTGTATAAAAATTAATAAACATTATAAAAGTCTAGTTTCGTTGTTTGCAAGTCATCTCTATTACTTGAAATTAGTACAAACTAATTGAACTCATCGTTTTAAAGAAAAAAAATATTTTGAGATAAATCAAATAAATAAAAGCATATCATTTAATAAAATTTATATAATTTATTAAATATTTATTATAAAGTCAAACAAAAATGGGAGAATGATTCAAATATACTTTAACGAAATCTGAATTTGTGTTTTCTAGTTTTAGAAAATTTTATTTTTAATTATTTATATTCCATGAAAAATTATACATCGAATTAGATTATTGTTTTTAATTTCTAATGAGAAAAAAAAAAAGAATTATTTTTTTCTTTAAATATTAGTTTTCTAATTTAGAATTAATTAGCGAGTCCTTTATTTATTGCCTAACCTATTGAC